AAAAAAAAAAAAAAAAATTAAATATGAAGGTGTAAAGCTGAGAAGTATCCATGTGGACCTGCATGAACAGAACTGAAGACCCAGGACTTGGGGGTGGGTGTGAGGGGCTCCATCCAGGGTGAGGCGAAAAGGCCCTTTCAAAGAAGGGATAGCAAAGCAAGACCCGAAGGAGGGGAGGCAAAAAGCCAGGGTCTGGAGCAGTGTTCTGGCCAGTGCCAAGGCCCCAAGGCAGGGCTGTGTTTGAGGGGCGAGGGCCTATCCCACGGGAGGCGCTGCCCCTTCAGCCTCACCTGGGGCCAGTCCAGAAGTCCAGCTGTCATCTGACCCGTCTGGTTACAGTCATCATCGATGGCCTGAGTGGGCAGAGAGAGAAGACCAATGACCCCCGGAGCTTCTCATAGCCCTTTCATGCCTTTGCCTAGAATAGGGGCCAAGAAACATCTGCTTTCCTTTTCTATCCCTTCTTCTCTGCCAGACCCCAGCCCTGAGGACTGAAGCCGGGGCCTCTGTGCTGAGCAGCATCTCCAGCCCATTTTCCTTCTTATTTTGAAACCTGGTAACTAAACTCCCCAGGTGGGACTCAAACTTGTGATCCTCCTGCCTCAGCCTCCCAGAGTGCTGGCCTTATAGGTGTGCACCACCATGCCCAGCCTGCAAACACTTTCTATAACGAGCCAGGCAGTAAAGGCTTTGCAAGTTATATGGTCTTCCGTCACAACTAGCTAACTACTCAGCTCTGCCACTGTAGCCCGTAAGCAACCACGGGCAATATTTAAATGAGTCCATGTGGGTATTCCAATAAAACTTTATCTATAAAATATGTTAACTATGCCCTGGGCCATAGTTTGCTGACTCCTTTTCTAGAAAGATCCTCCTACTTGGACCCAGCGATAAGCAGCCACTTGTCTGGGGCTGTGGAGCGACCAGCTTCCCCGTCACTAACTTCCTGCCTTCAGGGTGAATATTCACATGAGCCTCCCCAGCCAGGCCCTCTGGCCATCCCGGAGCAGGATGAACAGAATCTTGGCCAAGAAGCGTGTCCTAACCTCCGGCGTAGAGATTGGTGTGGGAAGCACAGGACTCGAACTGGGCCCGAGAAGGCCCAGCCCCAGGAGCTTTGCTGGAGCCCCTGGGAGTGAGTTCTGGTCTTCCCACTGGGCTGCCCAGACGGTGGGATGTGAGCTGGAGACGCAGCGAATGAAGTCCAGATAGAGGAGAAGCACGCACGGCTAGCACCGGCCCTGGATCGAGCTGTGTCTGAAGGCTGCTTCCGTGACCTACTAACCACACTGCAGGGCTTCTGACCAAACAGCATCCCGACCACTTCATCTGCCATCTCCCCAGCCGCGGCCCTTGGCCCAGGAGGTGTCCCTGACAGCCGGGACCAGCAGGACACCAATCTGACGTCTACCAGCACGGGGTTCCAGGAGGCCTGGCTGCCAATACCTGGGTCCCAGGAGCTGGAGTGAGACCTCACCCCGAGCCCACTCAGCCCATGTCTCCTTGGCCTGTCCCCTGGTGAGGCCCTCAGCGTCACTTTACCCATTTACACTCTGACTCCCCTGCCGTGGGGAATCTCTGTGACACCCAGTGACCCACCTGGCCCTGTCTGCCTCTCCTCCCCTGGGCTCCCTGGCTCCCTGGTACCCTCTCCCCACTGGGACCCCCGCTCTCTCTCAGCTGCCCATGCCCTGTTGTCTTTTACCTCAAAAAAGAGAAAAGTGAAAAAAGGAAAGGAAGAGAGAAAGCTGCCGGGTGTGGTGGCACATGCCTGTGATCCCAGCACTCAGGAGGCTGAGGCAGGCAGACTGCCATGAATGCAAGCCATCGTGGGCTACACAGTGAACTGAAGGCCAGCTTGGACTACATAGCGCCATCCTATCTCAAGAAAACCAAAACCCAACAAAAAGACAGTCTGGGGCAGAGAAGGGTGAGCCTTTTAGAACTTTCAATGATAACAAACAGCCCACCGGCTGCGGCACGCATGCCAGGGGTTCGCCACCACTGACTCAGGGCCTCTTTCTCAGCATCTGTGTGTAATTCCCACCCTCATCTCTCCCCTGTACTGTCTCTTCTGCTGTCCCTCCTCTGCCCTCCCCCAGGCGACAGGAAGCCACAAAGTCTGTCTCAAACGGGATGGGCCTAGGAGCTGCGCCTTGGGTCCCGGAGGGCCAAAGCCACGCCCGCCTCACCTGAGCGCCCCAACCTCCTCCCCGCTCCGGCCTGCAGTGTCTCCCCTGCCGTCCATCCCGCCCGCCCAAGGGGGTCTCTGCACCCCAGCTGGGCTTGTCTGCTGAGCTCACACCTGCCACGGCTCCCACACTTCCGCTGCAGGCCCTGGCCTGCTTCCTGGGTGCACATGGCGTGCACCTACCCTTCCCACAGCCCTATGCCATGGCAGCTCCTCTCCCCGTGTCCTCCCCGGCTTCCCACCTCCGGGTAACCAAGCCAGACCCAGGCTCCGTCCCCACCCGCTGTGCCCCCCGCTCTGTCCTTGGCCTGGGCTCAACCACAGCCTCAGGGACCCCCAAGCTCACCCGCAGGGACCTCAGTGATCATTCGGACACTCACAGTGACCCGCCCCACCTGCTGCAGCTGTCGGACAGGGGGCGGTCACACCGTCACCTCACACCCCTTGCTGGGCAGGGGCCAGACGGGCATAGGGGGGCGGGCCACACCTACCTGCTTGCCCAGCAGCACCAGGTCCACCTTTTCCCTCTCAGCCAGCTTGGCCAGGACCCGGGCCACCTGCAGGGGACCCACACGGTCGGCCTCTGCGGCCGGCACCTCCACGTGGATGCCCCGGTCCGCACCCATGGCCAGGGCCGTGCGGATGGTCTCCTGGCCGGGAGAAAGGGGTGAGACGGCTTTTGTCACAAGGGGCAGAAAGAGACTGGGCCTGAGATGCTCCTCCCTCAGACCCGGGGCCCGGGGCCGGCCTCCCCCTTGGACCCCACACACCGCGCCCCCAGGCACCTGGCACTGCACGGGGCCGCAGCTGACGGCGATGACCTCCTTCACCAGCTTCTTCTCCTTGAGCCTCACAGCCTCCTCCACGGCGATCTCACAGAAGGGGTTCATGGAGTGCTTCACCCCGTCAGTGACCACCCCCGTCTTGTCAGGCTTCACCCGGATCTGCTCGGCGGGAGGGGAGGGCGGGGTCAGGGCCTCGAAGGGTGCAAGGCCAGGGCCTGTGTGGCGACTATCTGTGGATGGGGACACAGAGGCAGGGAAGAGGCAGGGCCTCCTCGTCCAGGGTCCCTGGGTTCCGTCCCAGAGCCCGGTTATAATTCCCAGGTGAGGGCCGGCCAGCCACTCTCGTCTCATCCAGACCATCCTGAGCGCCAGGGGCCATCTGACCTGACCACCCCGACACTGCGCTACTCCCTGGGCTACCTGTGACTCTTCTGCTTGCTGTAACACACAGGGAGATGGACTCACAAGATGCTCAAGACATATGTACATATGTACATCCACACCCCTATACATAAATACCCCGGGGGAGCAGGGTCCTTGGCACCCCTCACCCTTACCGCACACCCCAGGCCCTGGCAGTGCCCACGCCTTGCAAGCGCCAGCCTTCTGGGTGTGTTTCACGATGCACTCGTGCTCACAACCTTCCTGCAAACACCGGCATCGAAGGACTCTGCCCAGGGGGACGGGGTGCACGAGCAAAGCCCACCCCCTCTCCTTTCCCCACACGGTGTCTACGCCGAGTGCTGCCCCGATGGGCCCGGCAAGGGCTGGACTCCGCAGCCCAGGCAGGCGGTCACAGCATGGGCAGATATCCGCCCCCTAGCGGCCTCCTGGGGCTGCTGAGAGCAGCAGTGCCTGGGGGCCCGGAGGCCCGGGGACAATGCGTCTCCCTGCGCCCGCTTCCGCCAGCCTTTGGCGCTCCTTGGCCGTTCCCACCTCCAGGCCAGCGCCTGCACCTCTGCCTCCAGGTGGCCTCCTCCTCTTCTTCTGTCCTCTCTCCTTCTGCCTTTCTTGTAGAAGGACTTGGCACGGCCTTTAGGGTGCACACAGATAATCCAGAACACCCCCTCCCAAGTTCCGCCCCTTTCTGACAGCGGCAGGGGCCCTCTGGGAAGCCGGCCGTGTCAGCGAGCCATGGATCTGCAGCGCGTGCCCCCGGAGGAGTGGGCAGCTGTCAGAGGGTGACAGGGGCCCAACCGGGTCTGACGTGGGAGACTGAAGGCTCCCGCTGAAGCAGGACAAAGACCTGGACAGAGACTGAAAGATGAACAAAGCTGACGAGGTGGAGCGCGAGGGATGTGTGCTCCAGGAGGGGCAGCAGCAGGTGCCAAGGCCCTGGGGTAGGAAGGAGCATGGGCCATGGGAGGTGCACAGAGGCCTGTATAGGCAGTGGGAAGCACAGCGCCCTCAGGCTGCCCCGCTGTGACAGGTACAGCAACGGCCTTCCAAAGAGCTCCATGTCCTTAAGAGGCCAAAGTGAAGCATTCTGAGGTGGGAGAGTGTCCTGCATCCTCCAAGTGGATCCTAAACGTAATCACGGAGGTCTTTATAACAGACAGTCAGAGTCAGAGGCTGGAAAATGCTTTGAAGATGGGGGATGAGCCTCGGCCCAAGGAAGGCAGAGACCACGGGAAGCTGGGGCAGCGGGGGAGCCAAGCTCTGCTGACCCCTGGTGCGATCCCAGGGAGGCCGCTGCTGGGCTCTGGGACCCTGGAACGGCAAGAGAATCAGCTCTGTGGTTGGCAACTGCTAAGCCACGGTACGCTGGGTCAGACCACAGGGAACAAAAGCACCTCCACAGGCCCGGGAGGCTGGGCCAGGAGCTGGGCCTCGGCCCCGGGGCTACAGGAAGGGTTAAGGGATGCCTGGGTCCAACTTAAGTTCCAGACAGCTCTGAACTCTTGGTAAAAACTGGAAAATGAGCAGGGGAAGTGGAAGAGTTGTCTGCGTGTCAGCGCAGTGAGATGACAGCGGACCTTGAAGGTGGAACCCACCACCACGGCCTGGTGCTGGGCAGAAAGATGAGCGCGTCCAGGCCACCCCCGGGGTTCTCGAGCCAAACCTCAGAATGGGCACGGGAGGATCCTGCTGAGGCACTGGCCCTTCTCCTCCTCCACGTGGCTGCCACCAAGGGTCTGGCTGGAACAACCCAGGGGGACAGGCTGGGCCAGCTGGGGACACTGGGCCACTCCAGCTTGCTAGGTCCCTGTCTCCCATTCTTCGGGGCTGGGGGGTGGGGCAGCTCCTTCTATGGGCTGGGAGGAATCGGACAGGAATGGGAGATTTGGTCAGGGCCTCCCAGCCTGAACATGCCCCACGGAAGACGTAACATTAAAGCACAAAGGACAGAGGAGAGAGAGGGGAGAAGGGGAGGAGAACAACCATTGTTTTCAATTACTTTTATCTCACTTTCAAAATGTCATTTTAAAAGCTGGATATGGTGGCACACATGCCTATAATCCCAGCACTCTAGGAGGCTGAAGCAGGAGGATCGCAAGTTTGAGCACGGCCTGGACAACTTAGCAATTTAGAGACCCGTTTCAAAATAAAAGATAAAAAAGGACGCAGAGGATACAGTTCAGTGCAAAGGTCCTGGGTCCCATCCACAGTACCACCCCCTTAAAAGGTCATTTTAACACTAAAAATGCAGCTCAAGTTTCAGAGCCGACTAAATCTGCGCTTAGGAAATGTGCCTGTCCTGTTTCTCAGCCCGGCGCATGTGTTTTCTCTTGGATTTAGCTGGGGTCTATTCTTAGTCCACCTCACGAGAGAAACTGACCCCTAGCAGCCAGGGTCCCTCGGCCGTGGCCGTGACGATCCTTCCCGACATCCTCTAGGCCTCCACCTCATCTTCCTCCTTCCCCGTCAGCCGCACCGGTCCCGCCCGGCCCTAGTCCTCCTCACTCCGGGACTCTGCACAGCACCAGCGGCCTTGCACTCATCTCTGCCCCCTCTCTCCCCTCCCCGGGAAGGCCAGCCCAGGAGGGCAGGGATCGCTTGTGTTCTACCTAGGCTGGCGGGATGTACACTGTAGCTGCTCAGAAAACACCGTCAGAGGAACCACGTTCAAACCTGACCTGTCCAGCCACACACTCCCTCATCAGCGTGCAAAACGAAACACAAACGCCTTCTCTTTCCTTGGAAACTAAACTAAAACAAAGACACGAGGATCCTCTTCAAGACAGGAAAGAGTCCCCATCACGAAGCTTAAACTGATGAGTCAGGGAGCTTCGAGGGACCCCAACCTCTGCTTGACCAGGATCCAGCCGGGCTGGACCTTGCCCTAAGCTCCTGGCTCTGGCTCCCAGTAAAAAAGGACAAAAATTTCCCAGCACTGCAAATCCTACTAGTCACCTGCTCGCTCAGGGGAAGACCTTTGCAGCTTGAGTTGGTGTCGAGCTTGAAACACTGCTTAGTTAAATTACGCAAGTCAGGACCCAAGGGCCGGGCGGGACGCCAGCAAGGTTTTTGTTCTGTTTTGCTTAGGTGATTCGGCACTGAGCGTCAAGGTTTCTCTTCACGGAGCATCCAGTTAGCCTTCCACAGTCACACTCACTTTGCAGCTGAGACAACTGAGGCGCAGGTGCCTCGCCTGAGGACACAGAGCAGGAAAGGGACAGGAGCAGGGGGTCTAACCCCCAAGTCGGGCTTGGAACCGGCGGCCCCGGAAGACGCCAAGAGTGAAGTAGGAGCACTAGCGTCCGATCTGTGCCGCCAGGTGTGATGGGGTTTCACAGCCCGCCCCTGGCTGCTCCTCCTGAGCCCTGCCACAGCGCACGGCCTTCTGTGGGGTTCTCTCCTCTGCTCCTCTGCCACGCACGACAGGAAAGGGCAGGAGCTGGGGTACAGAGCAAGCAGGACAGCGGGGCCAGATGCGGGACCGCGGCAGTGAGCAACGCCAGCCAGAGGCAGGCACCAATTGCTACCGCGGCTCTGGGGCTCTGCAAAAAGCAGCTCATCTGGGGCAGACAGGGAGGCCGACCGCGGGCCGAGGGAAGAGGAGACCAGGAGGTCCGAGTGTGCAGGGCCAGGAGGGAAGGGGGGCAAAGACCATCCACTGTCTCCCAGAACCGAGAGGGCAGGGCTGGTTGGCCTAGAGGTAGGCTTGACGCTGCTGTCCCATGGGGTCTTCTTTAAGCAAATGCATCTCAAGCTGGGCGTGGTGACGCACACCTGTCATCCCAGCACCCCGGAGGCCGAGGGAGGAGGACCGCAAGTTTGAGCCCAGCCCGGGCAACACAGCGACTCAGAGAAACCGTGTCTCCGAGTCAAAACATTCAAAGGCCTGTGGACCTTGCTCAACGGAAAGGTCCTGGGTTCAAGCCCAGCACTGAAAAAAACAAAAACAAAACATCCCTAAGTAGCAATAGAAAATCACTCCAGCTTCTCCAGGATGCCTGGGAGAGGGCCTGGGGCTTAGCCTCATCAGCCTCAGGGAACTGCGTTCCTGGCCAGGACTGGGTATGACCAGGTTGCCAGATTCCTACTAGGACCCCGCGTCCAGTGCCACACTAAGCAGAGTGTGGGTTACGTTTAGAATCAGGGGCGAAATAAGCCTCCATTGCGGACATCGCGATAACAGCAGTACCGAGCGCTGGCCAACATCGACCGCGTGCCAAGCACTGTACAGGGCTCTCTGCAGCCTCACTACCACCCGAGAAAATCGGTGCTGGCATTACCCCACCGTGCAGAGGAGGGAGATGAAGCTCTGGGCAGGGCAGCAACTTCCTCAAGGTCCCGGAACAGGAAGTGAACCCAGGGAGCAGGCCTAGGCCCCCCCGAACCATCCTAGCTGGGCACACCTACTGTCCATGAGTGTGCCCATAGACACACCTGAGACACACGCAAATGCCAGAAAGACTGGGCAAAACACTACAGCAGCAAGTAAGTAAATACACGGTGGATTACATCATAAGAGTACGCGGCAGGTGTAACAAGGAGCGGGACTGGGACTCTGGTGGCTGTAACTTTAAGTAGGGGAGTAGGGAAGGTCTCAAAGAGAAGGCGATCTCTGAGTAAAGGCTTGAAGGAGTTGAAGGAAGAGCTACGCAAGGAGCACAGAGCTCAGACCTGGTCCTCCCCACAAGGAACAGTCAGTCGGCCTGAGGGGGCTGGAGGGCGGACACTGCAAACATAGGAGGCATCCAGTGTGGGGAGAGCTGGAAGCCAACCCAGGGGCTTCAGGAGTTCCCGAGGACACACCAAGGTAGCCTGATGGGCGGGGGGCTCCTGGAGGAGGCTGAGACAATGTCGCTATGACGGCATCAAAAAGCATCCCAGAAGGAAGCGCAGGCCCCTCCTCTCCCAGGTAAAAATCGGAGCAAAATGCAGCCTGATCCACGAGGAGAGGAGATGCAGACTGGGGTTGCGGAAACTGAAAAGGTGAAATGGTGTCCCTGAAGGGACACGGACAGCGGGACCAGGCCACTGAGGGTACCCAGTGCCAGGCCAAGGGGCCGGGACCTCGTCCTGCGACAAAAGAGCCTTCCAGAGAGCCACTGGAAGGCCAGGAGCAGGGGAGGACAGCGCAGCGCCAGGTGCAGGAAGACCCTTAAGGCTGCAGAGGATGGGTTAAGGGGACAGACAGGAGCCAGGGAAGAGGGTGGGGCTGGGGAGCAGGGGCAGCGAGCCCACAGCAGCGGAGGGTGAGGGGTTAGGAGTGGGGTCTGGCCTGGTGATTACGTGGCTAGCAGCGTGTGCACCGTTCGTTGTGCTGAAAGGACCTCCACCGAGGGATCCACACCGGATGCAGGAGGGAGCAGGGTGGGAGGGGAAGTGGCACCAATCCTCCGTAAAGGACAGGAGCTGGTAGACTCTGCGTTTCCTGTTCTCTCGAGGAACATACCACAGGTACCCAGGAGTTGGGTGATCCTGAGACCGGAACTGGGTCAAAGAGCGACAGAGCTGAGTCCAGATATCCCAGGCCAGGGAGACCACAGCCGAGGCGGGGGCAGGAGGCCCAGGGCAACAGGAGTCCTGGAGGGACCCCAGGCACAGGACATACTTGGGAGCCAGATGTGCCCGTTTTGGTCCCGACTGCTCCTTACTAGCTGGGTGACCTGGCAAACAACAGAACCTCCACAGGCCTCAGTTTCTTCGTCTGTCCAATGGGATTAACAGCACAGAGGATACAGAAATGGGTTAGGACTGAGTGATCAATCTCCATAAAGAACCTAGAATGCGTCCTGGCACCTGTCAGCTGTCCTGATTATTGAGGTCTTCAACTCTGAATCTATGTCCCACACTTTCCTCTGCACCCCACGCCCCAAGTAGGCAAGGGCCAGTGTCAAAGTGAGCTTTGTGTCCTGGTTTAACCCATCCTGGGGCGGCCTCCAGGGTGCTAGCTCCTGTGCTGGCCTCCTTGGGGACACAGCTGTGAGCTCCCGGACATGAACAGTCAACACCATCTGTCCAGTCTGGGCCAAGGGTTGGGAAAAACCGGCCTGGGGAGCATGTCTGATTCACCTCTGCCCACACCGGCTTCACCCTGGGGCAGTGCAGGGCCTCAAGGACGCTGCCTTCCCCAGTTTTCCATGGAGAACGTGATCAACTGCCCCCTTGGGCAGGCTGACCCTTTAAACTTTGTTCTCCAGCACACTTCTCCCTCCGTTCTTGGCTACAGCCTCCTCGCTCCCCCTGTGGCTTGAGGGTTCAAAGTTTCGGGGCCCCCTAGCGCCTGTGTGACCCCATGTTAGCACATTTGGAGTACTCTAAGAGTCAAATGAAAAGGCAACGTAGTCTAGGGAGGAAAAGCACCGGTCTGAATGCGGAATCTGAGGAGCTGGATAGGATTCCCGCTCTGCTCTTCCTGAGCGGAGGGAATCGTTCTGTGCCTCAGTTTCCCCGTATGTTAAATAGGAGCTGTGACTCTTCCAGCAGTTAAGAACTAGAGAACTTAACTCCCTCTGCACACAGCTATCACGACAGTGAGTCCGAAGCGAGAAGGGAGCGAGGTCGTGACCTCAGAGGGATGGGATGTCGTGACCTCAGAGGGATGGGATGTCAGAACCTCACCGCCCTTGACCTTTGCCCCTAGGTGTGACTTTGACCTTCTGGGGAAGAGTGGCAGAGATCAGAGGTTAGGAGCAGATTCCCATACAGCGTGCGCTCGTGATCCCGGAAGCACATGACCGCGGGTCTCAGGGAGGTGGGAGAAGGGGGCCCGGTCACCTTCACCGCGAAGTCGATGACCCTCTTGACAGCCACGAGCGCGCGCAGCTCCGCCATCTTCCGCCGCAGCCACCCGCAGAGTCTCGTCTGTAGTCTGCACGCCCCGCTCCAGTGAGTCTTTGCGCCTGCGCGCCGTGCCACCAACCAGTCAACTACCGCGGCGACTGCGTCCCCGCCCACATAACCAATCAGAAGGAAGAAGGGAGGAGAAGGGAGGGCGCGTAGGAGGCCAATGGGAAGCGGTGCCCGGGGGCAGAGGCGGGACCCGAGGCCTGGGCGGAGGGGGCGTGGCAGGGAACTAGGGGAAAGGTCGGGCGGAGGAGCTGAGCGCGCGGGGGGCGATCTCACGGTTCCCTTAATCTCCTGGCGCCCCTAAACCAATTTCCCCTCCAGATCCCCCTTCACTCCCCGCCTGCCCGAGTCGCCGTTGTCTGTCCCCACGCCTCTGCGTCCTCCAATGTCGCCTCGCCCGTTTTCCAGCCCTTCTTTATCCGAGCCCTCCCGCGCGCAGCCCTTCCGTCCCCGCCGTCTCCGCACCCTGTCCGTGCGCGCGTCCGCCCTGGCTGCGTTTGTGTTTCCGCGTCCGTGTCCCCTCCCCGTCTCCACACTCCCTGTGGGCTCCAGTGCGCCTGTCCTCGCCGACCCCCCAGAAAGGCACGTGCAGCCGCGCGCTCCGAGCCGAGCCTTTATTGCGCTCAGAGGCACACGGGGAAGCTGCTGATGGCCACCGAGCTCTGCAGGATCAAGTCCGCCAGCAGGAAGCAGCCGCCTGCGGGGATGGGAGCGAGGCGGGAGGCGGTGGGCCCGGGGAGGGTCTGGGGGCGGGGTCCTCCGGGCAGTCTCCCACCCTGCTCCCACCGCCAGGTTACCCGCGAGAACAGAGAAGGGTAAAGCCAGCCACCCTATAAAATAGGACCAGGAGAAGAAGGCGTCGTCCTTGCTCGAGCTCCCCACTGTGTAGCTGATCAGCGCCATCAGCAGCAGCAGCCCTGGGCCACGCCCGCTCGGCAGGTGAGCGCGGCCAGGTGCATCCGACCAGGCCCCGCCCATGTAAACCACGCCCATCTCCCTGCCCCGCCCGTGGTCACGCCCACACCTCCCACTGCCGTCCTGGGCACGCCCACTGCCCGTGGCCGCGTCCTGACTCCTCCCCGCACCGCCGTCTCCTCCCGCCCCGCCCTGGGTTCCCGCCTGGCTCCCCGATCCTCAAGGGCACCCCAGGCCTACCCTCCGCCTGCTCACCGCTGACAAAGAGCAAGACGCTTGTAAGCTGGCCCCGCAGAGACTCCTCCGCCCGACATAGAAGCCGCAACCCCATCACCGTGGCCACCACACCGAAGCTCCCCGACAGCACCATGCACAACCCGGCCATCAAGATCGTGGCTGGGGACAACCGGCCCCGTCAGCCCTGCGCGCGCGGGCCCCGCTGATCCCCGCCCTCCCATCCCGGAGCTGGACTGTGGGGCCGAAAGTGCCTGTCGCGGCTGGGACCGGGTAGGGGAGCCAGGTGCACTTAGGGTAGGCGGTGGCCCGGGGGCGGGGCAGGCTGGCTGCGCGCGCGGAGAGTGGGGCGGACACCCATGGGGAGCTCACGCTGGCAGGGGGTGCTGGAGCACAGGCCCTGGGTGCACTCTTGCCACAGGCCACCGTGGCCCTTCGCATGGCGGATCCAGTAGCTGGTTACCGTGGACAGGATCGTGAAGACATTGGCCAGGAAGCTGAGCAAAGTGCCCCAGCCCTGAAGGGTCCGCTTCACTCCCATGCTAGGCAGGCTGCTGCCGGGGCCACAGAGGCAGGGCTGGCTGACCCCCGAGCCCCCTCAGACCCGGGCCCATTTCTCAGCACCCTTGCCTGGTGATCCGCCCCCCACCCCGCCGTTTCCTTGTCCTCCGATAGGGGACTTTAAGACCTCCCCCAGCCTCACAGCTGAGGAACCCGCCTTCCCAGGCACCTCCCTCCTCCAGGGCGAAGTCCCCTCTGCGGTCCATTCCTCTTCCCATCCCCCACCTTACACACACACACACACACACACACACATACACACACGAGACTCGCACCCAGCTCCCCAGAGCTTCTAAGATTCAGAGTCCGAAGGGGTAGGGGGAGGGAGACTGGGGCTTTGTGAGACCTTCAGAAGTTCTAGAACCCCTCCCTCAGCAGCTTTTAAAGGGATAAACACACACACAGCAGCAGCTCCCTGCCCACTGCGGTACTGGAGATAGAGCCCAAACCAGAGTGCTCTATCACTGAGCTACATCCTCAGTCTTTGTATTTTTTGATTTTGAGACAAGGTCTTGCTAAATTTTCTAGACAGGACTTGCACCTTTTTTTTTTTTTTTTTTTTAAAGACAAGTTCTCACTATTTAGCCCAGGCTGGCCTCAAACTCTCAGCGATCCTCCTGCCTCAGCCTCCCGAAGTTCTGGAATTACAGGTGTGCAGCCCCCACACGGGGTACCAGCACCTCTTCACAGAATGACAGCTGAGTGGAACAGTGGGTCCTGGGGCAGCTTGACCATAACAAGGTAGACCAAAGCCTCCTAGAAGCTTCTCTGCCAGACAGCCTCCCTGTCCCCGGCTCTCTAGCTGTGCCCTCAAAGGCCCGCTTGCAGGCTGTGGCCCCTCGGCTGAGACTCCACCCTGACCCTGCTCAGCCAAAACTCCACCTCCAGCCCCCGATTCAAGTCCTCGCCTGCTCCTGACTGTACCCGGAGCCCGACACTCAACCAAAGGCAGTGTCACAGCCACGAGTTTGTCAGGCCAGAGCCCTGGACGCTAACCTGCCCCCTCCTGCTGGACCCCACAAAGCCATGGGCTCCCAAGCCCTGTTCCTCCTGCCCCCCTAATCTGCCCCCTATGCCTATCAGGCCTAGTCCCTCCTTTCCATCCTGGACCCAGGTCCCAGGCAGGCCCCGTGTCCTGGCCTGTTCTTGTCCCTAATCTTCCAGTCCTAACCCAACCCCTAGCCCATGTCCACAGAGGGGCTCAGAGCTGACGTGTCCCTCCCTGCCCACAATCCTCTCACTCCCTGTGACCCTCAGGAGGATGCCCAGTGAGTGTGTCACTGAGGGCCCCCGCTCCCCACGCCCCCACCTTCTGCATTCTAGCCAGGGAGCACCCTCTGCACCCTGACAGCTCCTGGCCGTCCATGGCCGCAGCTTGAGTTCCTGAGCGCCTTCCCCGGAGAGGCCTCCCTGTCCCCGTGCCTCCTGACTCCTGACACCCAGCCTTTCTGGCACTGCTGCCTGGCCCTCGAAAGGGCTGGTCTGTAACTGCCCCATCCTGCCTGGTTCTCCACCTTCCTGGGTGCCCCTGTCATCACCCACCGTGGAGCTGACCTATGGTTATGTCTTCCTTTCTTTCTTTCTTTCTTTCTTTCTTTCTTTCTTTCTTTCTTTCTTTCTTTTTTTTTAAATTTTGAGAAAGGGTCTCATTAAGTCTCACTAAGTCACCAGGTTGCCCGGGCTCTGCTCAAACTTTTGATCCTCCTGCTTCAGCCTCCCAGCCAGTTGCTTATGTCTTGGCTGAATTAATCTTGGAATAACCAGATTTTAGCAAATTTTTTATTGAATGACTGAAGAAATAAATGAAGGGGGGTGGATTGGGAGGGAGGGAGGGGCAGGGCAGGGGCAGGGTCCAGCCTTCCTTCCACGGCTCCTGAGGACACTCCGGGGGCCCAGCGCTCACATGCATCCTGGCCTTCTCCCCTGCTCACAAGGTTTCATAGCCGGGCCGGTGTGTACCACAGTGAGCGCCCAGACTCAGGGCACCTGGGGTGGCAAGAGTGTAAGTGCTTTTCTGCCTGGGTCTCCCCGCCCCTGTGGCCTCCCAGCTCCCTGGGGAGGCGGTCCGGCTTCGTGGTCACCTGTACAGAGGAACAGGACCATGGAGACCCAGCCCAGGTAGAAGGACCAGCAGAAGAAGGTCTGGACCTGCGGGTGCGGAGCCTGGCCCCAGCGTTCACTGGTGTACACCGCCATGGCCACCAGCATGGAGAGAGCTGGGGACAAGGACAAGAGAGACACATGAGCCCCTGGGGGCCCTTCTCCCGAGCCCAGCCCGAGGCCTTACCTGCAGCAAACGCGGTGATGGTGGAGACCAGAGGCCCTCGGCCAGGGGCGGACAGGGAAGGGATGCAGGACAGCACCAGGAAGCCCACAGCCACCAGGCTCCACAGGGCGGCCAGGACGCAGAAGCTCTGCGTCACGTGGATGTAGCCTGCTCGTGGGAGACAAGACTCCGAGTGCGTGCCCCACCCCGCCGGCTCCCCGCAGGAGAGGCCAGCCCTTACCTTTGATTTGACCTTCCTGACCGCCTCTCGGCCAGAGGCCCGAGTGAGCTGAAGTGGGCCCCATGGCCACTATCCAGAAGTCGGTGCTGATGGCCACCAGGGAGGACGCCAGGCCCAGGGAGCCAGCAAGCAGGGCCAGGGACCGGCAGGGCTCCATGGCCAGCGCTGGGTGTTCGGGTTCCAAGGGACGAGGAGGATGCCGCCCCGGCTGCTGGGTCACAGAGGGTGGGAGGAGGCTGTGTCGCCGGCTCTGGGTCCTCCGAGCTACAGGAGCAGAAGGCAGCAGGCAGCGCTGGCGGCCGGGGTGCTGCACGACAGCGCACGGGCAGGTTGGCTTCACGCAGTTCCCGGCAGTGGCTCTCACACACCCTGCCTTCCTGATTTGCAGATGGTCTGGGTCCTCCCCGCAGGTTTGCCTCCGCAGGGTCGGGGTAGGGAGGGCTCCGGGTGTCGCATCGTCCGCGGTTTAGGTGTGGTCTAGCGCATGCCTCTGTCACAGCTTCCACACCTCGGGCCCCGGCGCCCCCCCGTGGCAGGGCTTCCTGGAAGCGGCAGGAGTGAGAGCCGGGGCCTCAGGTGGGGGGCGGCCAATCGGGCTGTCAAGGGAGTTGCCGGGAGGGGAGATGTGGCCAGAGGGGACAGTTGGGGACATGTCATGCTTTCCTGTGGTGGTGCAACCTTCCGTGCTGGGAGAGGAGAGGCGCCCAGCGCCAAGTCGTACCAAAGGCGGGGCCCGGGGGCTCAGCGCTCCTGAGCTGAGTGAAGAAGGCACAGGCGAGGGGCTCCGACGCCAGGTCTCTGGTTGGAGCCTCGGCCTGCCTGGGGCAGGCACACAGGCCGAGAGTTACGCCTGAGAAGGGCTATGGGGAGGAAGGAGCTGCCTACAGCCTCATCTTGTTTTTTTTGTTGGGGGGGATTTCCGGTACCAGGAATCGAACTCATGACCTTGCGCTTGGCAGGCAGGTGCTGTGGCGCTGAGCTAAATCCCCAGCCCTAAGCCTCGTCTGATAATGAGCTGAGGGTCACTCTGCTCGGGGTGGGTCCTCCAGCATGGGACGGGTGGAGCTTGTCCCCAGGATCAGGTGCCTAGGGACTGGTGACAAAAGTGTTAGTGGAGGGTCCTCTGGCCTCCGAGCGCACGTCTCCCCCAGCAGCAGGGCCTGGCTGACACCGCACCTGCAGCAGGTATAAGACGAACGTGCCCCTGCTCAGGAAATACTGGCCTCCAGGAAGTGGTGAGTGACCCAGAAGAGGACCTGGATCACGACCGTGAACTGGGCCAGCTGTTCCAGGACAACCAGCTATGGGAAGAACCAGGAAGGTCCCAAGGTGTTGTGTCCCCGCCTTACTACTGCAGGCTTCGCTTTTGGGCCCTGGCCGGTGAGGAAGTGGCCACCCTTGAGCACGCGCTCAGGAAGCCAGGCTCCCAGAGGTGGATAAAGGCCACCACGGTAAAAGCCACAGGCAGGTTTGTGCAAGGAGCAGCAGACTTCAGGAAGTCGGGGCCTCGAGCGTGTAGTGAGCACAGAGCTCCTCTGTGACCTTGACTGCATTCTGACCCTGGCTCCCCCCATGAATACAGCGCATCACCCCATCCCCAAGCAGAACCTCATCCTGACACCAAGCCAACCCCCTACACACTCAGCACTCACTCAGTGCCTCCCCGTCTTCCACCCCAATCCCACCCCAAGACCAACACCATCTTCATCTCAAATTTAACCGAGGCCTCCGCCCCTCAGCCCCAGCCCCGGGCCCAGTTTGCTCCTCATTCATCAACCCCACGTTCCTCTCACCCACCTATCTCCCTCCTCATCTCACCTCCGGGTCCAGGCCCTGAGCTCCCCAGTCAGCCCCCACGCCCAGGCCCGAGTGCACCGCAGGTCTCTGCAGGGCAGGCCCAGGCTTTCAACGCCCTGGGCACACACGCTACCAGCCAGCAGGGGCAGCTGAAGGCCACCGGGAAGAGCACGGAGGCAGGGCTGGGGTGGTGCTGTCTGCTTTCACAGTGAGCTGCTGTCTGAGGCTAGCGGAGGGGAATATCGGGCCTTGTATGGAGCTTCTGCTGAGCGTTCATCCCTGGCCCGACCGCAGAGTTCAAACTGCTGGTTTACTTAGATCTGTACCAGCCTTGTCCAAGCTGCCGGGTTTCCTGAATCCACCCAGGTCTCTGGCAACTTTCTCCAGCCCTTCCAACCTCTCCCAGGCTCTGAAACTCCTCACAGCGCCAGGCTGCTGTGGAATCCTGCAACACTGTCAGTCCAGCGGTCCCTGAAGGCTCTGCCCAACCAGGAGGCCACCCTGGTCTTCGCTTTGTATGGATTCCGTCTTCAGTAAGAATGCCCCCAAGCCATAGTCCCAAGGCTCCAGCCCCAGCCTGGGGCCCTCCTCCCACACCTCTACCCCGGTTACCGCCTCTTTGACTTGGCAGGATTCCTTGTCTCCCGTTCTACAGCTTCCCACATTTATTTTTATTTTAATTTTTGGAACCGGTGATCAAACTCACGACCTCATGCCTGCCAGGCAGGCGCTGGACCGCTGAGCTATCTTCCCGGCCCCCACATCTTTTTTTCCCAGACTTTAAGAACTTTCAAGCAAGAATGAGATCTGACTAATGGTAGGGCTTAGATCCGGGCAACTGCACAAGACATAAAGGCCACTCTCATTGCCCGTGAACCTATATGATTATATACTCAATTATAGGGGTGAGCCTTCTAGCTCCTTGGGAGGCAGAGGTAGGAGGATAGCAAGTTTGAGGCCAATCTGGGCAACTTAGTGAAACTCCTACGGAGCTCAACATCATCTAGCATGCGTGAGGCCTGGGGTTCGATCCCGTGCTCTTGGTAGACAGTGATTTTGAAAAGCATCATCATGTCTACCCAGACCTACTCTATTAGTAATATTGCATGTGCTTTATTTTAGCAGTGAAGATGAAATCTGAATATACTTAGAGGAAATCCCAGTAATATTGGTGTCGACAAACACTCATCCCAACTGGCTTAAATGAATGTTTTGCCCAACGAGTATTCATGCTTCCCTGCAATCCCAAGTGCTATCTTGGAAGCATTGGGGATCTGGGGATGATGGACAGTGGATCCAGATTTCTACCACTGTGGTGCTTGCGTTCCTGTCGGGGGACAGACAGACAGATGTCAAAGAGGAGCACGCAGCGTGTTTGCGATAAGGGCTGTGAGAGAAACAAAAGCACGGGGTGGAGAGTGCCATGATTTAGGGAGGGTGGCCAGGGCGCCTCCCTGACAAGATGACTTTTGAACAAAGACTAGGGTGCATTTGGGAAGACAGGTCCACACCCGGACTGGAAGGAGGCTGGCAGGGCCGGAGTGAGCAGAAAAAGCTCCTGCCCGGAGAAAGCTTCAGCCTCTCCTTGTGGGGAAAGGACCCTCTAAATCCTTGGAATGTCCCACCTGGTAAACGTGTGTTAGGGTCGCAGGCCACCAGGGTTCTTTATGACTAAGATGAGATTTACAGCCCGGCCCGAGCCACGGTGTACCATTCTGACCTCCGGAGGCGCCAGCACAGCGGGGCCCCGTAGGACCTCGGTGGGATTTAGCTTTTGACCCGAGAGGAGGGCTGGCAGCAGTGTGCACACCGTAGTGGGTGGGGAGGGCGAGACCAGAGCAGGAAGCCTGCTAGCAGGCGGGAATGGGTGACTCCCTGTAATCCCAGTAACCCGGCTACCCTGGAGCCTGAGCCCAGATCCCAAGTTCAAGGCCAGCCTGGGCAACTGAACTGAAAGGCAGGTGTCATGTCATTTCCTAGGATGGGGGAGGCCAAGGGCGGGGCACTTGGGGGTGTGAGATTCGAACTTATTTTTAGACCTGTGACATTTGAGGTGCCTGTTCTTTTTGAGCGGAAATGTTGAGTAAGCCGTTAGAGATAGGAGCCTGAAGTTGTAATTATACCTTTATTACTGCTGGTAGCCTACATCCCTATAAATGTGATTGCTAGAATAAGCCCCGGTTACGCTTCTACCTATATAGGCTGCAGTGAATTATTACGGAAGACCTCAATTGCCATTCTGTTAGAGGAAGCCTCTATAAATAAAGTATTATTGTTTGAGGAGGCCCCAGGAAACACTTTAGGAAAAAGGCTTCTATTCGTATTACATTTATTAGCATAGGGTCTATTTTTTTTTTTTTTTTTTTTTTTTCTTGAGGGACTGATGATTGAACCCAGGGATGCCACATTGCGCTACAGCCTTAGACCTTTTTTATTTTAAACTGCCGGGGCTGGGCTTGAATTTGCAATCCTCCTGCCTCAGCCTCCTGAGTGCTGGGCTTCTAGACATCACCACCATGACGCACACATCCTACGTGCCCGTTTCTCAAAGCGAAACTGTGGCCGAGCCTGGGTGGGGTGTGTGTGACGGCCTCAGTCCCCGTGCCTGCTGGAACCGGCAGCCCGGGCCAGCACCTCACAGCACCTGCCTCCCGCCCACCTACCGCTCCCCGGTTTCTCTCCTCCCCCGACAAGGACTCACGCCGGCACAGTTTCATGTCACTTTTATTAGGCCCCCAAATGTCGCACTAAGGGATACTCCGATTCTCTAGGCTTGGGACTTCTCTGCTGCCTCCCACCAGGCGCTACTCTCCTTTCCCTCAGGACACGGAAGTCGGGGCCCCCGTGAGCCCCCTCGCGCCCCGGGAGCCGGATCGCAGGGCTCCGACGCCTCCTCTCCAGCGGCCTCCCTCTGGCGGCCCGGGCCGGGCTCAGCGTGGGGTAGACAGGCGCCGGCACTCGTGCATGCGGTAGGCGCACATGTAGAAGATGCCTCAGAGGAGAAAGGGGTCCCTGTGAGGCCCCGGACCAGACACCACCCTCTCTCCCTGGGGCCCGCAGTCCCCGGCCTGCTCAGGCCTGGAGCCGGCCTTCAGACTCAGTCCTGGGGTCCCCCGGGGTGGTACATCTTGTTACCCCACGCCCTCCCCCAGCCCTGTACCTGCGAAGAAGGTCATGAGCAGCGCCACCCAGCCCAGGATGTAGGACCAGGAAAAGCGCCAGTCCCCAAAGCGGCGGCCGAGGAAGCTGACAGTGACTCCGGTGTAGATGGCCAAGGCCAGCAGGACGAACAGGGCTGCGGAGAGCAGGGCGGGGCGCAGACATGGGACGGGAATGAGGCCGGAAGAGGTGGTCAAGCGGGGGGCGAGGGGAAAGATGGATATGATGGACTTGGGGGTGATGTGGGGTTTTTATTTCCCTTTTTTTAAATTTTAGGATGAGGATGATTAGGGTTGGGGTGGTTGGGGGGTTGGATGGCTGGCTCCTGGAAGACTAAGTTCTTGTAATATCCTGAGTCCTCGGGGTGTCTGTTATTCCTGAGTCCTGGGACCACACGGGAGTTTATGTTCATAAAACCCGGTGGCTCTGGATGGGGCTCGTTACAAGAAAGAGCAGGGTGGCACAAAGCTGAAGCAGGAGGATCTCCGCTTTGAGTCCAGCCTGGGCAACTCATTCATTTAGCAAGATGCCCTCTCAAAGTGAAAAATACAGAGGGCTGGGGATGTAGCTTAGCTCCAAGGTTGCATCCTGGTTTGGGCCCCGTGTGGGGGCGGGGAGGGAGAGAAAGAAGGCCACGGTCTTGCACGCGGTGAATCAGGGCGTGGGATCCGAGTCCGGTCAGGGCTCAGGGGCTGGGGTGAAGGGGTGATGGGGGCGGGGTCACTCACTGGATGCAAAGAACATGATTCCCGCGGAAAAGGGCCGGGAGAGGCGGGTGAGGCTGGACTGCTGAGCAAAGGCCAGGATACCCATGATGATGCCGGAGGTGGCGCATAGGGCGGACAGGATCATGAAGGCGCGGGTGGCATTCCAGTACGCTGTGGGGGCAGCCACGCTCACTCCCAGGCCTGGCAGGCTCTCGGGTTTCTCCTTCACTACAAATGCCATCTTTCTTGCCTGGCAAGCTCCTACTCATCCTCCAAAGCCCAGCTCCCGAGACCCTCTTCCCTGCCTGGGCACCATTCTCCCCCACTGCCCTGGGTCATGACTCTCTTTTTCTGTCTTTCCTCTCCAGCCTGATTTCTCCCCGAGTGCAGGGACTGAGTTGATTCTTGCCAAGAACAACCCCAGGCCAGCGTGGTGGTGCACACCTGGGATCTCAGCACTCTGGGAAGCTGAGGCAGGAGGGTCAAAATTTGAATCTCACCTGGGCAACTTAGCAAGACCCTGTCTCAAAATAAAAAATAGAAAGGACTGAGGATGTAGCTCAGTGCAAAGGCCCTAGTGCCATAAAAAATAAAAAAGAAAGAAAGAAAAAAAGAAAGGGAGGAAGGAAGGAAGAAAGAAAGAAAAAGAAAGAGAGAAAGAAAAGAACAAAAAACAAAACCAAAATGAACACACACACACACCCACACAGGTTACTCACTGGTCTGCACAAATGTTTGCTGAATGAATGTATGAAAGCTGATTGCCCTATCTTCCTACTACTCAATGTATATCCTCCCGTATTGCTCTTTTCTCTTAGCTTCGTACCACAGGCCCCTATCTGGAAAGCTCATTTGTTTTTACCCTGTTTTTGGTTTTGTTTTTGAGACAAGGTCTCACTATGTAGTCTGGGCTGGCCTTGAACTCAGAATGATCCTCCTGCCTCAGCCTTCTGAATTCTGGGATCACAGACAGGTGCTACCACACTTGGCTTTTTAGCTTGTTTATCCTGTCTGCCTCTTCCCACGGTTTTCCACGCTGAGTGGCAGTCTTGCTGTCGGGCTCACGGCTGGCTCCGCAGCACCCAGTGCTAAGGTCTCAGGGCCTCTTCCCCTCTCTCTCTCTGGGGCCGGCGTGTCCTGTTCTGCACCCCGGGGGCTGACGCCTGGGAGGCAAGCCCCGCTGCTGCTGCTCTCGCTTTGGGAGTAGGTTACAGTTGTTGGGAAATGAAGCCAGCAGTTCAGTTTGGCCTTGAAGATGTCAAAAGAATGGACGGAGGCCGGTGTGGCAGCAAAAGCCTACAATCTCAGCACTCCGGGAGGCTGAGGCAGGAGGGTAACAAGTTCAAGTCTAGCCTGGGTGGTTTAGCAAGACTCTGTATCCAAAAAAAACACAGAGTGTGTAGTGTGTGGGAGGGGCCCGGGCTGTAGCTCAGTGCAAAAATCCTGGGTTCAAAGCCAGGATTCAAAACAAAGCTGGTGACCTACACTAAGCCCCTCACTCCCCATGTCAGCGAGAAGGCAGGGAAGTGACTGGAGCTGCCCCCAGGCCCTGGGTTTTCAGTTTGGAGCAGGAGGAAAGAGCAGTGTCATAGATGGATCTACCACAGACAGAAGCAAGTGTGGACTTAGACCTAAACAGGCCTCCCCACGGCTCCTGCCTCAGTTTACCCCTCTGGCAAATGGGCTTCCCGCCCCCTCCCTCAGGGCTGGTCCAAGTGACATCTCCCTGAGGTGGGTGCGCTGTCACAGGGCTGTGAGCACATTCTCCCTCTTGTGCCTTCGGGGGACCATTTGGCCCTCGAAGTCAAATCCCCCTGCTCACAGACCCCGGGCCCCTCTCCTGCATTGCCGGGGGTGGACGGGGCTGTCCCAGGCCAGCGCTTCGGGAGCACCCCGGGCATCATAAGCACTCAACACACGCTGGCTGTGAATGCCGCTGCTGTTAGTAACCTACAAAGTGTGGTGTGATCGAGTACCTTACACCTCATATACTGCTAATTTATTATGCAGTGTATTTCACATTAAATAGAATATTATATCACTAATGCAGCATAGCTTACATAGTATATTATGCATACTATATTATCATATATAATATATACTATGTAATATTCTATCTCCCAGCCTGGCACTCAGGAATAAAAAGTCCTTCACCCAGTATCTTTTTTTTCTTTCTTTTTTTTTTTGGCTTTTTGAGACAGTCTCACCATGCAGTTCAGGCTGGCCTTGAGCTCACTTTGTAGCCCAGGCTGGTCTCGAACTCCCAACGATCCTCCTGCCTCAGCCTCCCAAGTGCTGGGATTACAGATGTGCACCACCACGCCTGGCCCCTTCACCCAGTGTCTGCACATTCACAGCTGCTCTGTCTTCCAGCCCCGCACATAATTATAGCAGACATTTGTAACATGTTCTGGTCGGGTGCAGAGGCCCATGCCTGTAATCCCAGAGCTCTGGGAGGCTGAGGCAGGAGGATCACAAATTCAAACTCAGCCTGGGCAGCTTAGCTAGCAACTTAGGGAGACCCTGTCTCAGAAACAAAAACAAAAACAAAACCAGAAACCAGGATATAGTTCAGTGAGAAGGCCCTGCCTTCAACCCTCAGTAGCACAAAACAAGTAAATAAAAGAAAAAGAAAAAAACAAAGTTGTCTCCACAACCCCAGCCACACCTGCCACAGGGTGACACCTGACACCTTCTGTGCCAGGAAATGTCACCTCTTCAGCCTGGCCTCCACAGGGGTACACACTGTCCCTGCAGCTAGGAAACAGCCCCGCAGCCCCTCCCACGCCGCACCGGCCTCCTTGGCCTGGTCCCTCTAGCGCTGAGCTTCGAGGCCCTCCCTCCGGATCGCCCGGGCCGTGAGCCCCACGCCCTGGCCCTGGCTCACCCACCGATACTCTCGGTCTGCAGGTAGCACTTGTGGCCCAGGCAGTACCGCCACAGGCCCTGGTGCGCGAAGGCCCCGGACAGCCGGTACTGCATCCAGTGGTCCGTGGCGGTGGCCACCACCAGGAGGATGGTCCCCACCCAGGCGCAGAAGAGGCCGCCGCCCATGAAGCTGTACATGGTGATCTGCAGGGACAGGGACAGACGGGGTGCAAGCCGGGCTCCTGAGTCCTGGGAGATGTGGAGACCTGGGGGGCCGGGGTCAGGATCCCCGGATGCTGGCGGAAGGGGAGGGGCTGGAGCCCTGGGTTCTTGGGTGCTGGAGGAGGAGGCTCGGGCTTGGATTCCTGGGTCCGAAGAAAGGAGGGGGGGTGGGGGGGGCACGCCAGGTCCCTGGGGGGGAGGGGGCTGGGGGCCTGGACCCTCGAGCCCTGGGGCACGCGTACCTGCGCGGCAGAGCCTGCCCTGAGCCCTCCTTCCGCCACAGCCCCTCTGTGCAGACTGAGCCGAGCCAGGTCGCTGGCCTCTCTGTCCCTGTGGGTCCCCCAAATCCCTTAAGCCTGCCCACACAATGGCCCAGTGGCCCAGCAGTTTCCAGCAGGCAGAAGTGCAGTGGTGGCAGAGGCCCAGAATGGAATTCGCTGAAGCAGGGATCCAGGGGACCCCTCCCCCAGCCCCTGGCCCCAGTGGCCTCTCTCGGTGACCCTCCCCGGACCCCATCCCTCCGCACAAGTCTTGCTCACGGCGAGCAGGGCGAGGGCGACCACACACACAGACAGAGGACGGCATCCGTTTATTGCCCAGCCAGGGCTCCCCACTCCCAGGAGCAGGGCAGAGTGGTGGGGTGGGGTGCTGCGTCTGGATACACGGGGCTGCTGCGGGTCTGGGAGAGGGATTCTAAATGCAGGGCCCGCCGGGGCAAGCTAGGGAGACCCTGTTCCAAAATCAAATGGAAATTAAAAAGGGCTGGGGATGCAGCTTGTCGCAGCCTACTTGCCCAGTATGTGTGAGGCCCTGGGTTCAATCCCAGCACCGGGAGAGGAAGCTGGCGCGAAGGCAGGTTAGGGGTGGAGGCACAGAAGAGGCTGGAGGAGGGTCGGGGGAGTGGGTTTGGGATAGGACGCAGGGCGGGGTAGGGGGTCCAAGAGGAGTCAGTGAACTCAGGGTTGTGGCTGTAGATAGGGATGGTGCCGGGATCCAGGCAGAGAAGACGAAGGGGTCGGCGTGCTCCTGGCGGGGGATCTGAGCAGGGCCGGGTGACTTGCAGGACTCCTTCCGGCTCCAGGAAGCCCCGCTGTGGCGGCTGCTTGATGCTCTCCGGAGTCCTAGTACTCCTTGTCCCAGTCCTCAGGAGCAGGCAGCCGGTCGTGGGGGGCCGCCACGCCTCCTCTGTCTTCCTTCTTCCCACCCTGGCCCGGCAGTGTGGGCGGTGACCGCAGCCTCTTGGTCGGGGCCTGGGGACCAGCCCCAGCGCCCTCTGCCCTGCCCTTCTCCGACAGCTCAGCTCTCCCGGCTCCCCACCTCTGTGGGCCCCAGCCCCGGGCAGGCCGGCGCCCACGTCCTCTGGGTGGCCTGGGGGCTGTGCCCAGCTGGGTGTGGCAGGCCTGGGGTGAGCAGGGGCAGGAGGGCAAGGACTGCTGGAAGCTGTAGGCTCCCAGCAGGGCGCTGTGCAGGAGGTAGGAGAGGGCGTCCAGGCGGATGGGGACGGTATGAGAGGCCAGGTGCTCGGGGAGTCCCAGGTGGGCCGGGTCTGGGCTGCCCTGGAAGGAAGGAGGCAGGGCCAGGAAGGGCAGAGGGGGCCAGGCCTCAGTCCCAGGTGGTGGCGGAGATGCATTCCTAGCATGACAAGAAGACAGGTCAATGGGTCCCGCTGCCTGCACCTCTGCTGGGAGCCCACCCCGACTTCCTCGCCCCTTGTTTCTCTGTCCCCACCCATTTTTGTAGACCGACAAGATGAGGGAGGAACAGCTCTGCAATTCCTCTCAGCACCGGATACTCAAGCTCTGACATCCAGAAGCCCTTGCTGAATTGAAGTGTGACCCTGGGCAAACCATTCTCCATTCTAAACTTGACTTTTCTCCTCAAAAGATGGCTGTGGGCGGTATGAAGGGGAGGCAGTAAAGGGCTGAGCTCTGTGCGTGCTGAAGGAACGTGGAAAATTATTGTATTTTTCTCTAGTCCTATGGATGTCCCTGGGGTCTTCCTCTCCTGGTTCATTCTTGAAATTTTCCTTCCCCTGGGACTGGGGATTGAACTCAGGGCCTTCACCATGAACTGTCTGCCTAGCACATTTTTTTTAATTTTTAATTTTGAGACAGTCTCGTTAAATTGATAAATTGCCCCAGCTGGGCTCAAAGCTGCCATCCTCCTGCCTCAGCCTCCTACACGGCTGGAATCACAGGCCCGTGGCCTCAGGCCCAGCTTGGCAACTTTGTGATGAATGTCCATTTCTAGCTCTCTCCGTTCTAAATAGCCACCCCACAATCTGCCAGAGAGATCCTCTAAGGGTCTCCTAGGCGGTCACACCTGAGCTCTTAGCGTTTTTGTTTTTTCCGATGCTTTTTTGGGGTCCTCCCACTTCCCCTCCCCCCTTCTGATTTTCTCGGTCCCCTTCTCTCTCTGGGTTTCTGTCCCCTTCTTGGGGGTCTTTGTCTCTCTCACCCTTCGGACGCAGCCTCGTCTCTTTGCTGATCCATCGTCACCGAGGTCACCAGAGCCTTCCAGCAACTTCTCCAGGATTCTTCCAGCCCAGCGTGGGTGGGAGAGGCGCAGAGCGAAGGGGCGAGGCCAGGGTGGCGCGGGGCGGGGCTCGAGGGGCGCGGAGCTGCCCGGATGGTCCGGAGCTCAGAAGCGGATCCTCTACCCGGGAAGGGTCGGTCCTTAAACCAGTCCTCGCTCAGACCTGGGGTCTGGGCTCAGCCCCTTCTGCCTGCTTCCGCAGGTGTCCTCAAGACAGTTGTTTAGGACTACTAGGACAGTTTAGGCCGGCACATCTGGACCCTTGGACAGACACTCCAGTGGGCGAAGGCCTTAGTAGGTAGTGGGAATATTTAACTGGATTCTCGTTCTGTGCTGGGTCGCTGACATCTCCATGACCCTAAATTAGGTCTTCCCAGCGTCTTTGCTTCAGCATCCCTGCCTGAGAAACTGATGTTATCGTTGAGGTGTTCAGCTAAGGTGCTGGAGGCTAGAGGGTCCGTGGAGGGAGCGGCCGGAGAGACTCCGGGCGTGCAGCAGGTACTGTCCTTGCGGGGCGGGAAGGAGGAGCTAGGAGCAAGGATCGGCTTGTCAAATTTTTAAAAACTGAGTTTTTTTAAAATTTTAAAATATTGTATTTATAGAAAAGTTACAAAGATAATGCAGCAAGTTCCCCTGTGTTCTGCCCAAGTTCCTCCAAGGTCAGTCCTCTTACAGTGTCACCGCTTCCATTTGTCACAACTAAGACACCAAAGGATGCTAAGTGAACGTAACGTTTAGATTTTGTTACTTTTTGCACCCATGTCTTTTTTTTTTTTCTGTCCCGGGATCCGGTTCAGAACACCACCCCACATTTTGTCATCCTGTCTCCACTGACCAGCAGCTGCTTCTCATTCTTTCCTTTCACAGCTTTAATAGTGTTGCAGAGCCGGGCGTGGTGGTTGCATGCCTGTAATCCTAGCACTTGGGAGGCTGAGGCAGGAGGATCGTTGCGAGCTCGAGACCAGCCTGGGCTACAAAGTGAGCTCAAGGCCAGCCTGAACTGCATAGCGAGACCCTGTCTCAAAAAGACCGGGGGGGAAAAAAAAAAAAAAGCATTGCAGAGTGCTCAGCACATTTATTTATTTATTTGGTGGTACTGGGGACTGAACCCAGGACCTTTGCACTGAGTCCCATCCCCCCCCTTTTTTGGGGGGGTGGGTTCTGGGAATCAAACTCATGACCTTGTGCTTGCCTGTCAGGCGCTTGCGTCGCTGAGCTGTATCCCTAGGCCCCCCAGCGTTTTTTAAAAAAGTTCTGAGACAGTCTCACCAAGTTGCTAAATTGGCCTCCAATTTGCAATCCTATTGCCTCAACCTCCCAGAGAGCTGGGATTATGGGCCTGCACCATATGAATTAGTACTTCTATGCCACGGAGCTCTTAATGAATGACACTAACTCACTTAACCCTCCTCAGAGGGCTGGGGATATAGCTCAGAGGCACAAGCGCCTGCCTGGCAAGCTCAAGGCCTGAGTTTGATTCCCAGTACCAAAAACAAAAACAAAAACAAAAACAAATCCTCCTCAGAGAGGTTACATAGTTTGCTCAAAGTCACAGAGCTACTAAGTGGCACGGCTGGTGTATGAACCCAGGCAACCTGGACCTACAATGTGACCTTTTAATGGAGACACAATGCACTGTATAGGTGTGTGTTAGCTGAAATATTTTGGGCTCTTTGTTTCTCTGCTTCTCCCCAACCCCTTTCTGGAGCACCCTGTACCACTGAGCTGCACCATCAGCCCTTTAAATTGTAAATGTCAGAGTACTGAGGAGGCGGAGAGGAGGAAAAGGGGAAAAAAAAAGAATTAAAATGTGTTACGCACACGTACCAACTTCGTAGGGTGAATGCAGTCATGTAGTAATACAAATTTATTTATTTACTTATCTATCTATTTATTTAATCTTTTTGTCCTTTTGTCGCAGGGTCTCCCTGGGCTTGAGCTCACTTTGTAGCCCAGGCTGGTCTTGAACTTGCGACGATCCTCCTGATCCTCCTGCCTCAGCCTCCCAAGTGCTGGGATTACCGGCGTGCGCTGCCACGCCCGGCTACATTAATACAAATTTTTAAAGTAAGAGTACTGAGAAACTTCGAACATTTGTAAGCGGAGCTGTGATGTAATGTGGCTTGTGTCTTAGGAGCACTTCGCCCGCAGTTTGCAAAATGGGTCGCGGTGCAAGGCGAGAGGACCAGGCTGTCCTCCCGGAGCGGCGCGGTGGTGGCTCCGGGAGGGCGAGGAGATGGGGCTGCGTTCGTACCTGGGAGAGAGGGCCTCGCCGCTGCTGGACGGCTCGGGGTGGGCGGGGGGATCAAGGAGGACGCCGTCTCCAGCCTCAGCAGCCCCTTTCTTACAAGATCGCGCCTCCCGTGCGAGTTGAGAGCAGTCACTGGTACTGGGACAGCCTCATGCTGGTTGCCGCTGTTGGCACCGCGTGTGGCCAGAGGAGGATTCTTTTATTACTATTATTTTTTATTTTTCAGACTGAGGATTGAATCCAGGGTCTTCGCGCCGCGAAACATTTCCAGCCCGTGATGACGACGACAGGAGGAGTGGGAGGGGAGCTGAGTGACTATTACCCAGGCTGGGCTTAAGGATTTTAAAATTTTTTATCGTGAGGCTCGGCTTTCTTTTTCTTGGCGATTCTGATGAACACTCAGATCTCCAGACTTCGAGTCTAGGTCTATCCATCTACTTCGCTCAGTTCCAAAAAGGCAGCTTATGTCTACACAGGGCTCGGACATCGGAGTTCGAATCTCGGCTCAGGTACTTACAGGTGCCTGACCTTGTGCGAGCTGCTTAGTATTTCTGAATTTGTTTCTTCGTGAGACAGCGCTCACTGCCCCGTTCCTGAGTAGTGGGGATTTCTTTTTTCTTCTGTGTCTGCGATCACGGTTCACCTCCTCTTAGAACCAATGAATTCCCGTCTTCACTTACCCGGTGTCTGGCCCTTTAAAGTTTGCCCCCCTCCCTCCGCCCAACTAAGAGAGCGGAGGCGGGACCTTGCGTCGCTAAGGAAATATCCTTTATCTGGCCTCTAAATTAGGCGAGTTAGGAAAACGGACCAATCAACATTACGTCTGGGTAAAACAGGCTTCCAATTTGTGGGATGCTCCGTCAGGTTTGATTCAAGCCCCGCCTATCCTTTGTTACGTAAGGCGGGCCAGTAACATCCTCAGCTCTGATTGGTCAGAGAGCGAGAGTTAGCTAAGAGAAGGCTTTGAGGGACGTCTCTCCCTCGCTCTCTGATTGGCTAGCCCTTTTCCGCGCCCTCTTGCGGCATCCTTGCTGGGCTTTTGTCTGAGCTTGCTTGTGGAGGGCGACTGCGGCTTCCCACGGAGACCCCTCCGGGCTTGGAGATGCGGACAAAAACATGGGCGAGAGAGGGGACAACGGGGAGGCCCGCTGCTGTATGCATCAGTTAGGATCAGCTTATTTGTATCACTGTCCCTTCGCCGGCCTCGGACCACCAGAGTTCCAAGATCCAGCCTTTGGGGCATCCGCGGTCCCGATCGATCGGCCCTCCAGCATTCCTTACTCCGCCGGTTTCCCCCTCACTATTCCTGTCCCCACCCCAGCCCAGGAGACCTGTGCCCCGCCCAACACGCTTTCAGCCCCTGCGGAACCCCCTTGCAAGAGCTAGCCACGGGGCCTCTGATCTTGGGGCGGCTCTCACTGCTGCTCCCGCCTTGCACACGGTCTCCTTACCTCTTTCCAGGTGCGAGAGGTCGTTCTTGCCTCCCCTACCGTCTCCCCACGTCTAGGTGCTCTCGCTGAGCTGTCCCCCTTTCAGCCCCTTCAAGGCGCGGGGGTCGCCTTTGGATTTTGCTTTGGGGATTCAACTTCGGAATCCCCTTCCGCCTGCCTCCTTTCTAGCTCCCGTCCGCCCTGAGGTCTTGGGAAGCTGTGAGAGTAGAAGGAGTCAGTGTCCAGCCCACCCACTCAGGCCTTCCGTGTTGTTCTTTAGGTTGGTGTAACAAAATGCCATCAACTGGGTAGGTTTATGAACAACAAGTGTATTTCTCGCTGTTCTGGAAGCTCAGAAGTCTAGCGGAACCCTGCTTCCAGTCTTCTAGCTGGTGCTCTTGGGCCAAGGGCACGTCTCTCAGGCTTCTATAAAGCCACTAATCTCGTTCCTGAGGAGAGCGTTCATGGTCTAATCAAGTCCCAAACACCTAGGAAACCTGCACTGAGTCACATCCCCAGCCCTTTTTTTGGGAGTGGGGATACCGGGAGTCAAACTCAGGATCTTGAGGAATTTTACAGTAAATAACATTATACCCACCACCAACTACTATAACATTTTATTATGTCTGTCTCACCCTTCCTGTATCCACTCACTGACCTGGGTTTATTTTATTGGTCACACTGGGGTTTGAACCCAGGGCCTTCACCCTGAGCAACATCCCCAGCCCCTTTTTATGTTTTGAGACAGAGTCTTGCTAAGTCAATAAATTGCCCAGGCTGGGCTTCAACTTGTGATCCTTCTGCCTCAGCCTCCCAGAGTGCTGGGATTGGAAACATCTGTCTTACTGTTTTGATGCATCTCAAAATGAATGTGGTCCTCACTACCTTTTAGTCAGAAGCACTGCAGATATGTATCATTAACGAGAGCGTACCACTTGTTTCTTCTGAAGTACCGTTTATAATGAAATAAACCAGTCATTTGTCTTTGTTTAAAATTTATTTTTGGGGCTGGGGATTTAGCTCAGCGGCAAAAGCGCCTGCCTGGCAAGCGCAAGGTCGTGAGTTCGGTTCCCGGTACCGGAGAAAAACCACAAAAAAAAAAAAAAAAATTTATTTTTATTTTAAATCAACATAAACATATTTATGGGGCACTGTGTGACGTCTTTATACATGTATACATTGTGTTCAAATGAAGGTAAGCATTATCTGGTGACAAATGTTCATTTCACTGTGGCAAAAAATTCAAAATCCCTTCTTCCAATTCTTCTTCTTCTTTTTTTTTTTTTTTTTTTTAACTCACAACCTCACGCTTGCCAAGCAGGTGCTGCACCACTGAGCTATATCTCCGCTCTTTCTTTGAAATTTTTTTTTCCAACTCTTGAAATACATAGTACATTAGTGTGATCTATAGTAACTGCCATGTAATACCTCACCAGAACTTACTTTTGCAATCTACCTGTAACTCAATTTTTTTTTTTTTTTTGGTCTTTTTGAGACAGGGTCTTGATATGCAGTTGAGGCTGGCCTTTGAGCTCACTTTGTAGCCCAGGCTGATCTCAAACTCACAACGATCCTCCTGCCTCAGCCTCCCGAGTGCTGATGTTACAGGTGTGCGCCACAACACCTGGCCTGTAACTCAATATTGGTTGGTTAACCTTTCCTCATGAAATGCAGAAATCTTATTTGTATCATT